TATATATATATATATACCAAAAGGGAACTCTCCCTAATTGAATAAAAAATTAGCCATATATACACACTAAATCCTATGATAGATATCGTAAGTGGTATTATTAGCCTATGATATATGAGTATATATATACTGTCAGATGATCCAAGAGAAAACTACAAGTAAACTTTCTTAAAAGTTAGGAAGATTTCTTGATTTGAAGTCTAAGTGAAATAACACTGCATCTATTATTCCTTTCATAACAATGGGTGAGGATGGTATAAACATAGAGTAACTTGAGTCGAATGAATTCTACACTCAGAGTCATAAGATGCATATGGCCCTACCCCATCATAAAACGTTTCTGCATGTTGAACTGTATGATCATTGCATCTAAAAGTTTAAAAAGTGTGAGATAATATCTTTTTATTTAGATAATTAATTTTATTTTCAACATGTCCACTAAAATGCAAAGTTGATCTAATTGCGTAAATAATATTAATATCATTTAACTTTGCAGATGCATCAGTGCAATTGCGGTGTGGAGCAAGAAATGTGATATCAAGTACCATAACAAATAGATCAGGAGTAATTTCCTTGGTGATGGATTCTCATGTAAATACTTTGCCATTGCTATTAATCAACTGCCTTTTAGTAGTTGCAACTCCACTTTCAACATGTAATGCGAGCTTACCATCTGTTGGGCTTTTGGCATCATCCTTGAACCTTGTAAATATCGGTATTGGCGGTGTCGGCGGTGTTATTAGTGTCAGTTTAGGTCCTATCGATTTTATACTTAATCTTAACCTCATTTTATAGTGAATGAGCTAGCTTGCTAGTGCTTAATTTGTACTACTACTATGCATTAGCTAGTTAACCTTCTTGGCCAGCTGCTTACTGCACGAATAAGGATTGTTGTTTCTACTCGTGAATAAAGTACAAATAATATTCGCAAGACTTATATTGGAGCCGTAATTGTGAAAAGATTGGAAGATCTGGCCAAAGCTCCAAGCCTACCCTACCCGAAAAAAAGTTTCAGCTATTGATGTAGCCTCTTGTCGATACTAC